GCAATTTTCATTTTATCTATAACTTTATTGATATCATCAATTGGAAATTCAATCAAAAATTCATATAATTTTGTACCGGTATTCAAACAAATCTCCTTAAAATACTCTTTATAAGCACCATACATCGTACTCGTTATGAATATATGACTTTTATCATTTATATTCAATGACGTTACTAGAGAATTCCTAGCAAACGTAACATTCTCAACTAATATTAAATAAGCAATTAAAATTGCTGTTGTACAACACAAAAATCCTGCCATTTTTCTTATCATATCTGTTAATCTTGGAGATACTTCACGATCATAGAAACGTAGCGGCTGTTTCTCAATATAATACTGAAACAAATGTGCATATTCTAATGCTTGACGTAGTACACAATCAAATCCTCCATCATTGAGAAATACATATTTATTGTCTAATAAAAAATATTTTTCATTCATCCGACATCCAAATGGAATTTTATCATCATTTGTATAATCATATAAGGAAAATGGTATTGGCAATGATATAAAATCACCCTCAGTTAGATTTAGTAATTCTTCAACGTTTGAACTATGAAATGAACTAAAATCACGTCGTACAATCGATGACATGTCAATTTTTATCTAAAACTTATTCCACATGCTCGAATGTAAATTTAAATAAAGCTTAACAAAAAAACAAATATTATCCATTTTGTATCACGATTTAGAACGAAAGTGGCGCACTTAATGCTGAGTAATCAACAACAAAATTCAAATAAACAAGAACACGAAGTGTGTACACAAAATGCATACACAAAAGAAAAATTGTACTTTTTCTATTGTCGCTTATATCAGAGAAGAAAAAAAGATCATAAGTAATAGCATGCAGAAATAATAAGCAGGGTGCCCATAATTCGAAATTCAACTAAACAAATTTTTTTGAGCTATTTATACATGGTTGGGTAGAGCTCGTCGAACTGACTCAGAAAATGTGTTTTTATGGTTGAAAAAATGATATATATTTCAAAATGTTTCGTTGGTTTTCATTTTTGGTTGAAAATTTCAGTAATTTTTCGGCGTGAAAATTCGAAAAAACAAAAGCAGTCGGATAGGATAAAAAAAAGTACATCATTCGACTCAGTTTTTGCCTCTTATTCCGAATATGATATTTTTATTACATAGAAAATGCGCTCTGTCTGGTGGAGAAAATTGAGAATTACGGGCATACGTCAGTTTGGTTTTTGCTGCTGATCTAGAAAAAATGAATACAGCGTTAAAGCGCGTTTAATGACGGTTCTAATAAAGTAAGAATCTAGGCTTTATCTGCTCACAAAAAGGACTTAGTAGATTTGCAAAATTCTTTATGTCTTTATCTACGCGGATCTACGCGGATCCATGCGAATACAATTTTATTGAACTGAACTGTCCCAGAAATCTCTGTCCCCTCAAGCAAAACAAAAATGGTCTGTCCGTGGGAAAAGAATTCACAGAACAGAACACAATTGTCCCGTTATCCAGGAAATTCTCCCGATAAAAGAACCGGACTGTTCTGTTTCGGGAACACGATTGTCCTGTTTCGCGACTCAGACTGTTTTGTTTTGGGAACAGGATTGTGCTGTTTTAGCGGAAGAATATTGAGACGGATCTGTGGGGATCTTGGCGGATCTACGGGGATCCCGAATCCGCGGATCCGCCTTTTCCCCCTTGTACAGCTGCCTAAATAATCAATTTCACCAAAAAATCTTGCCTTTGAAGCAATAAATAAGAGCCAGTTTTTAGGAAATAATGTCTCTTATCTCGGTAACGGAAAAGACCTGAAAAGAGATATTTTCGAATTAAGTCATGTCCTTATGCTAGCTAATAAGTAACTTGCAAAAAAGATTTTTCTTCAACTCGTCTGCAAAAAAACTCCAGCCAAATCTATTTCGACTCCATATGGCCATGTTTTTCTTCGGCCAAATCTTTTTAAATATAAGGAATCAACAATAGGTCTAAAAATAAAAATATTTGGTCATATCTCATAACAGTTTGTGCAAGAGTGATACCACTTACGCCCATATTAATTTTAAACCAAATGGCCAAAAAGCAAATGTAAATATTGCCTGTTGTGACCAAGATGCGCCGAATGTCTGTATAATAAGTGGAATTGAAGCTGCCATACCTAACGGAATTCCTTGCAAAAGATATAAAAACAATAATAAAAATACCATGACCGGTCTGACCTCCAGCTTTGTTTATATGGTAGACTCATGTCGATTGATGGCGATTTTGGGCGATAACGTTTTAATATAATTTCGTCTTGTGGTATTTGCTGGTAAGGATGTCGCTGTGGGTTTTTTTCGTGGCTTGTGCTATCACTTTCTTGATGGAAGGATGATTGATAGTTGACTCTTACTGATTTCAATAATCGGCAATCTTTTGATTTATCATTCATACGATGCTGAAAATCATTAATTAAAATATTAAAAATTCCATTTTTAAAAGAAAACACTGAAAAACATGTTGGTCAGTAATGTTATATTGTTTTGCTAGATAAGATGCGATAAGACAAATGTTATATGTTGAAATATTTGAGATGTAAATAGATTTCTTTGTTTCCGTTTTTTCTGCCGGCTTCTTGGAAGATTACTTGAAAATTTCTTAGAATAAATTCCGTTAGAACTTCTAAAATGATAGATTTGAATTTGGTCATTCGACTATCATATTCAGTTAATTGGTTTGAAAATTAAACGCCGAAGGAGGGAAGCAGATGAGAAAAAGAGGCTGGGAGAATGAAATAACATATTCGGTTGATTCGGAATACATCCTACCAAAATAATTCACACGAAACCCATAGCATAGTCACAGTAAAAATGTCGTTTTTTCTATGTCACATTTATGCCATTCACATCAACATCTTTACCATTGAGTGTAACATCTTTAACTTGTCATCACAACTGTAGATTTTTCTTTAAACTTCGGTGGCTTGCTCTTTCCGTTGAATGACTTCAGCAATTTTTCTGCATTCTGTCAGCTACAAAAACAAATAAGCAAATATTCATTTTTTTATTTGATTTAATGAATATCTACGTCAGAGATATGAAGGTTTTAAACAATATCTTGTAAATGAATTCTCAGTCTGAAGTGTAAACACTTTGCAAAAAAATGAAAATTATTTTTTATTTCATAACGATCGAATTTTTTGTGGTTTATCATTTTGTTGTATAGTATGTTTAATGCAAGCAGCTTGTTTTAAACCATCTAGGACAACAAGTTGAAGTGTATGAGCAAAACAAGGCAATCTCAACTCACTCTTGGATATAACATTATCGAAGCTATGTGAATTTTCACTTTTTTTTCATCTTAGTTTTTATATAAATTTATGAATTTTATATTATTAGAAAATTTGAAGACAACGGTTGTTTTCCGCTAACCTTCAAAAATAGCTGTCAATTGACAGCTGGCAGAAAACAACTGAAGATAACTTGTCTCGTTACTTTATTAACATTACTTCACTTCATTGGCGAATATATAATAATAAAAATTCTTCTAAAGTACCCCGATCCAAAAGTTATTGTGTATCAGATAACTGACTATAGAAGACGAATCGGCAATCAGTTTTGACCGAATAGAACAAGCTTTTAAAATTTTTCGATGTGGTGATATGAAAGCGTTCTTAGAATATATTAAGACCTAATAGGACTTTGCCATGGAAAACACATTAATACAACACATATAGCGTCATGGCAAAAACGAAACACTATTTTTTGTGGTATTGAGTTTTTACTGTGACTTTTAACGTTTTTGTCGTTACCTTTTTTTACAGTATGCTTCAAATTAGTGAACGATTAAACAACGTATGCGAAGAATTCTGTCAGCCATCTCTTTATCGTTCTTCTGTTCCTCATTACGTAAAGGTGTCGAACTGAAGACCGATGAGAGTTAAATGACACCTATGTGCCAACCGCTTGTCAAAGCTTTTTTCGTTACCGTTTTATGATTAAAAGAAAAAGAGGATTGAGATGTATAAATAATTTTTGCCACCACTATAAAGTTGTCTATGCTTGGTTGTGAAAGTGCAATTGATTGGCATCTATCTGAACAAACTAAGAGCATTCTTTCTGATATAAGTGCTAGTAAACTTTGGTGATTGCCAAATGTGCAGCCATGGACGTTTGTAGTGGAAAACATTGATATAGAATAAATCCTGTCGTTCATATTTGTATCAAGGACCTAGCTCACCCGACCAAGCAGGAGTGTGGCTAAAAAATTCATTCGTATGTTTTAAGAGTTTATTTTAAAATTTTACTTTGTAAAGTGCCAGTTTTCTTTGTTTCCAAAAACGTTTTACTGGAAGAACAAAAGATCTCAGTCTTTTATCTATGTAATATTAAACATCTAATATCTAATATTAATTTCATAAATTTCATAATATTGTTATATTAATATAAAGCTATAGCCGAAAAATCGGATTGTTTGTAAGATGGTACGGATCTTCATTTTTGTATATAAATCACGAATCTATCGAACTTTATAAGTCTTTGCGTGTGTATCTTTCTTCAAGTGTAAATTCCCTTGACGACTGTTTTTTCTCGTAGAGCAGTTTTAATTCTACTATCGCGTCACATCGGTACTAACACATCTAGTCTTAGAAGGTTTCTTCTGCGTTTTCTACCCTTTTGCCGTCTGCATTTTTTCTCCAACTCTATTTGATTTAAATTTTTTGTATTTGCAAAGAAAAATTGAGAAAACTGCTGAACAGAGACATTACAGTCCAGTGACCATTTCTAGAAGAAAAGAAGAGAAAAAAGACGATAACATAAAAGGACAAATGAAAGAAAAAGCATTTTAGAAGCCTAGCTGTTCCTTGACAAAAGGCAATCAAAAGCCAAGAATGATAAAAATCTAGATTGAACATGCGGTACTTGATATAAGTTGGGGATTTACCGTATAAACGGATAATTCAACGCAGCTTCATGCGCTAATGCTGAATATGCCATTTCTTTTTAATAAAAATGCTTATTTTGTAGAGAATACTGGTTTCAACCACAAAAATCTACTGTGGAAACTAGAAAGAATTGCACATATGTAACAAATTTTATTTAATTAATTTTATTTAATTATTTCATAAATTTTATTTTAGAAATTCGAAAAATAACCCTTAGAAAATAGAAGATGATTTTCTAGAATAGTCTATATGAATTATCTGACGAATTTCTATTTTCTCAAAAATACTATTATGAAGAATATAGAATTTCGAATTTTCATTTTCTAACTGAAAAATCTTTGACAAATTCTTCTAAACTTTTCTAGAAAATAGTGTTCGATTTCATAATTAGAATATTTTCTATACAGTAGAAATCTATTACGTCTTTCTACATTTTTAAATTACTTTATACTGACATGAGTTAGATCGAAACGGGTCAACCATACCCGCTCCGAACCCGACCCGATCGGACTCAACCCGATTTGACCCGTTTCGGTCTCTGCTATATATACAAATGACAACAAAAATTTTTGCGATCGTTTTTGGAAATGCATAAACTTTCATTTGATATAAAACTACTATCTATGTAAAAATATAGTGTACTTCGACAAATCGGTGGTAACGTTTGAACAATACTTGATAGCTACATTCAGTTTTCAGATTCACAAACTAGATAGAATTTGCTACAAAACCATGTAGACAGCAGATTTTTCGAAATGATTTTCCTTGGAAAACCTGGCTTTGCAAAGTCGGAAAACCACTGGTTTTCTGGAAAAGCTCGATTTTTTCTTCTTTCCTACTAGACTACTGCTATCAGATGCGCTGATACCGAATCTGAAAGAATTGTTTGTCTGCCACCTTTCGTTTCGTAGATGCAGGCGTTTTCCGAAGACACACCTATTAGGAGATTTTCACGCTAGAGCAATAAACAAAATATGGAATATAGGGTTACATTACATGCTGATCACCGTGGCAATGTTTATTTTGCTTCAAAGAATCAGCTTTGAGAAATTTTGTCGAATGTTTTGGCTTTTTGGATCAAGCGCATTTCTCCTTCTTTTTCCTTAGCGTAAAAGTGAGTGAAAATATGGAATTGCGCACAGCTGATGAACGATGTCTTCTTTTGTCTGTTCTCGTCTGCCAATAAGCAGATTCTTAGCTATTAACCGAATGTCAATGCCTAGTTTTCTGTACATTCTCTTTCGCGCTGAAAAACCGTTCCATCACTGAAAAATTTATCAAATTAGTAGATTAGTTATTTTCGGGAGATAGATACCTAAAGTAGGCATATACCAATTCTTTTTTTGTAGGTTATTGAAAAAAATGTCTAGTTCTAAGATTACTTATTTCAAATGTTTTTTGCATGCATATGGTTGTTCGATAGGTTTTTCTCTATAAAATGAAGTATAATGAAGTTTGTGTTTGTGTTTGACACGACGAAAACAAGGAAAATATTAACAATTTCCCTCATCCCGTCCTCCTATACGGCGAATACAATCTCACTTTACTCTCATTCTGAAGAGATTACTTGAAACTATTTATTGAAATAACAAATATTGCTAGAAATAAATGGCGAATCCTGATCTCTTGCGTTGACGAAGGCAGCAATTCTTCATCTCATTCACTCAGCAGAAGTTAGTCAGTGGTTATTTGTAAAGTGTAAAAATTTACATAGTCATTCGGACCGCCTAAACAACATGAGAGTTTGGTATCGACACAGATAGTGTTTGGAATCAATGCTAGTTTAATCTATATTTATTAGCCAATTCAAACAGACATCGCAGACAGTCAGAACCGATGTTATCCAGGCTGTACATCTGACCTGGTCATTGAGGCTCTATTGAACAAATCAAAATGTAAAACCGTACACATTTATTTCAGGAATTAGTAGATTAGTTATTTTACAGAGATAGATAACCCAAAGTAGGCATATACCAATTCTTTTTTTGTAGTCAGTGGTTATTTGTAAAGTGTAAAAATTTACATAGTCATTCGGACCGCCTAAACAACATGAGAGTTTGGTATCGACACAGATAGTGTTTGGAATAGTTATAGATAGTATTTATAGATGGATAGTAGTTATAGATAAGAAAAGACCTTAATTTAAAAATGTAGAAAGGCGTAATAGATCTCTACTGTATAGAAAATATTCTAATTATGAAATCGAACACCATTTTCTAGAAAAGTTTAGAA